TTTTCGAGGGCGGTCTTTTTTAAAAGAACGCTGCAAGAAAGGTTACGGAGACATGTTGGCGGGCTTGCCCCCGAAGATCGGGAATTTGTTTAAAAATTCAGAGCCTCTGGACCACGGCGGCTTCACACGAGGCTGGCCCTCCAGACGCCGGCGCCGCTTTCCCACAATTAAGAAGGCGCCTTGGTATCTCTTGGCGCCTACCATGCACCGTCACGCATTCACGCACGCGCCGCTTCTGTGTAATTGCGTGTACGTTCAACGAGACTGGCCGTGAAATAATAAACATAAGTGTCGGCCGTGAAGGGTTAATCCATTCAGTCCGATGGCGACAATGCTCGACGTACGCCTTGTTGATCCGGAACTCGGATCAACGCGATCACGAGATTTCGAAAATCAGTTCTACTTCTTTGGCAACTCTGTCTTCGAATTCCGATACTCGAAAAAAACATTGAATATACGTAATTATTGGTGGTCGCAACGTTCGTGGGACCAACGACATGAGAAACTGAAAGTCTGCAAGATTAAATTTGAGTGTGTCATAAACGTAAATTGAAAACCTCTGAGTATCTCCTCTAAAAAGACTCTTGTGCTACTAGGGTTAATTGGAGTACCGAAAGAGCAAATGAGTAATCCACTCCTTTTTTTTCGAGGTTACACTTTACAATCCGAATGCCCCCACGATCTTTCCGTCGAGTAAAACCACGGACAGTTGCCAACGAAATTCTACAATCTTTGGAATTGATTCTCATCCCCCAATATTCAATCGAACGTCCGAGAGATACAGTAATGTCTCTCTAATTGACGCTCAGGTTGTGCACAAAAATGGTCAATTTGGGAAGAGGAGATACGATTGTTCGAGCCTTGCAGCTCGTTTTTATGGTTGTTGACAATTCGTAATTATAAAAATGAACCGCAAGGCTCGAACAATCGTATCTCCTCTTCCCAAACTGTCTCTTATACACATCTAGATGTGTATAAGAGACAGACAGTAATGTCTCTCTAATTGACGCTCAGATTGTGCACAAAAATGGTCAATTTGGGAAGAGGAGATACGATTGTTCGAGCCTCGTGGCTCGTTTTTCATGGTTATCGATTGTCAACCTGTCTCTTATACACATCTAGATGTGTATAAGAGACAGACAGTAATGTCTCTCTAATTGACGCTCAGATTGTGCACAAAAATGGTCAATTTGGGAAGAGGAGATACGATTGTTCGAGCCTCGTGGCTCGTTTTTCATGGTTATCGATTGTCAACCTGTCTCTTATACACATCTAGATGTGTATAAGAGACAGACAGTAATGTCTCTCTAATTGACGCTCAGATTGTGCACAAAAATGGTCAATTTGGGAAGAGGAGATACGATTGTTCGAGCCTCGTGGCTCGTTTTTCATGGTTATCGATTGTCAACCTGTCTCTTATACACATCTAGATGTGTATAAGAGACAGACAGTAATGTCTCTCTAATTGACGCTCAGATTGTGCACAAAAATGGTCAATTTGGGAAGAGGAGATACGATTGTTCGAGCCTCGTGGCTCGTTTTTCATGGTTATCGATTGTCAACCTGTCTCTTATACACATCTAGATGTGTATAAGAGACAGACAGTAATGTCTCTCTAATTGACGCTCAGATTGTGCACAAAAATGGTCAATTTGGGAAGAGGAGATACGATTGTTCGAGCCTCGTGGCTCGTTTTTCATGGTTATCGATTGTCAACCTGTCTCTTATACACATCTAGATGTGTATAAGAGACAGACAGTAATGTCTCTCTAATTGACGCTCAGATTGTGCACAAAAATGGTCAATTTGGGAAGAGGAGATACGATTGTTCGAGCCTCGTGGCTCGTTTTTCATGGTTATCGATTGTCAACCTGTCTCTTATACACATCTAGATGTGTATAAGAGACAGACAGTAATGTCTCTCTAATTGACGCTCAGATTGTGCACAAAAATGGTCAATTTGGGAAGAGGAGATACGATTGTTCGAGCCTCGTGGCTCGTTTTTCATGGTTATCGATTGTCAACCTGTCTCTTATACACATCTAGATGTGTATAAGAGACAGGTTGACAATCGATAACCATGAAAAACGAGCCACGAGGCTCGAACAATCGTATCTGCTCCTCCAAAATTGTCCATTTTTTGTGGACAATCTGAGCGTCAATTAGAGAAACATTACTGTACCGTTCAGGAATGTTGAAAATATTTTTCTAGCGCGTGCACGCGAGCCGTTCGAGCGTCGAAAATTTATGCAAAACTTCAGGACAAGATGGTAGCACTCACGGTGGGCAATTTTTCGAATCCCAGGCTCGACGTCGAGCGTCAAGGGTTCCCGTCCCGTCGGGTCGGTTCAAAACGCGCGTCTGGAGAATGTTACGTCGGACTCGTCGATCTCGCAGACAGAAAGGGAAAAACCTCCGAGGAATCCGACATGGTTCGTCGAAAAAAAAAAACGGATTTTCTATTTTTTCTTGCCAACCCCGTTTACGAGCGATACAGCCCCGAAATCGACACCCTTCGATGATAGGGTTCCGTCATTTTGACGTCTGCGTAGACGTCGGACAGCGATCGCTGGTTCTGTTAGAATTTATAGAATTTCAGAAAGAATAATAATAAAATGCTGCGCGGTTGGCGGCTCCGCATATAGAAACGGCGGGAACGAAAATAGGCTAATAAAATGATAGAGGGCGGCGGTCGAGCGGAACACGATTTAATCGCCGGTTTTAGAAGCCTCGTCTGCGGTTCTCCGGATTGGTTCGGTTGTTGAAGCATAGGCGGGTCTTCGGTCTTCTCCTCCCCGGTCTTACTCACCGCGTTATGGCTGTCTCGGCGCAAAAACAGATTTGCCATCGCCTTAATCGACGCTGCACTTCCGATCCTCGTAATTATTATGCGCCGCGGGCTTGTATATTGCTCCTCGGTGGCGTGGACCAGCGATCCTTCGTCTGGAAACAAATTGGGACACTGAAAACTCTTACCGCGACGATTTTATTCGCACAGTTTACTTGGGTGGGACCATTCGAGGTTGAAACCGAATGCAGAAATAAAATTAACGTCTCAAAATTCATTCGCGTTACTGCAAACTTTAATCCTTGTCCTTGGCGATGAGCGCAGATTCGATATTAGGATTCTAGTTAGTAATTGATGCAGTTTTAGATAAGAGATATATTAGATATATTAATTTAAAAGTAAACGTGCCGAGATAAATTGCAATGCAGAGAGGTATCTATCCATTTTTGTAACCTTTACTTCTTAATGAACAGAAATTAGATATTTGCTGCTCATTTATCACTTCACTCAGCTCCAAACAAAATGAGTAAAATATGCAGTCCACTCTCCAATCTTCGAGACTATTCAATCGATAGTTAGAGTTTCCAACAAGCGGTGTGAGTCAATTGTTCGCTAAGTTGATTTAATATTATTCAATCATATTTAATGTAATGTTTTATTTGACTTCTCTTTATTATTTTGGCTTGCATAAAAGAGTTGTGACAAACGTTTCTGTTATTGCGTTTTACAGAACTTTTAATCCATCCTTCATTATCCACGAATTAACTCTTTCTACTTGCGTTGACTTACGCCATTTCTGCTTTCAATGGCTCATACAAGTTTAACCCTTTGATCCCGAAAACATTCTAACTGTAAGACCACAGTAGCCTTTTCATAAGAATTGGTACATTTTATGCGTGTAAAATTGAGTTTTATGACTCACACAATGGTTACAGTTTTAACAGTGTATAGAAGCAAATTTAATATAGATTTAATACGGATCATTGTCAAAACACACATTGGTTTCTGTGGTAATTAGTTTACGAAACATTAGAGTTTCTTGTGCACTGGATTCACATGTATAATAAATCCTCTCCAATTGTGTGTTGCTGCCTTCTCCTCTCTCCTCCTACGCTATTGCTTTCACCCTCCCCTCGTTTACCTTCTCTTTTACCCATCGTTACTGCAACGTTTCAATGAATCTTCTTGTAATTAGACTCGTAAAATCACTCATTCTATAAACGTCCGTATTAATCGGATGAATGATCGATTGTAATCGAAGAATACTTATGAAATTTAATGTTTGTGTAAATTATTTAACAGTCGCTGGTTTCTTCTGTCTTTTTCTCATAAAATATGTTCCACCAATTTTTTGACCGACAATTTTTCATGCGATTGAGATTCACTGCGAATTTTATGCCTATTTTATACCTAATTTTTTTGTCAAAAATGATTAGGTCGAAAAGAAAATTCTAAAAGACATTGGCAGAATTTTAGAATATTATTACATCATACAGTAAATTCTCTCGAATTGTCCCTCAGCTTGTAAACAAAACGATTCTGAACAACTACAAAACCAAGTCGCGAGGCCCGAATGATCGTATCCCCTCTTCCAAAATTGTCCATTTTTGTTTACAAGCTGAGGGTCGATTGGAGAGAATTTACTGTATTATGATTTGAACGTCCATTGCGTTCGAGCATTCGCGCGATATGTTTATGTGTACGTGCCCAGCGGTGATATTTTATGTTCCCGTGTGTTCGTACTTCTCGTTGTACCACACACACACACACACATCACCACCACAGACTCTCGAAACGTAAACACGCGCAGTACAGAAAAGCTTTCTAAATTCTCCCATTTCAATAATCATCGACACCCCCTCGAGATTCGGGATCCTTGAAAAGGGCCCAAAATTTTCGAGTAACCATCTAGATCTCGTTACACCGAGTCGAAAGGGGCGGGGGCCGCGTGGGGGCGAATTAAAGTCTCCAATCAGGAGACCAATCGAAGCTCGGCCACCCCGAGCAGCCACGCAACCACGGGCGTGGGTGTGCTGGTAAAAATGTTGGCTCGAACACGCCGCCGGTTGTGTGGTCACACGGACGTACACACGGACGAGCGCACAGCCAGCTCGAGAGGAATCGTCGGTGGTGGCGTCCGGGCACCACGAGCACGAGACCAACGTTTGACTCCCTCGGAAGAGCGAGTCGACATTAGACGTCTGCCCTCCGGCCTGATCGTTCAACCGTGACCACCCCCGGGCGGAGAACGCGGTCAGTTTGACGTTTAACTGTCACTCGAAGCTAGTAAAAGCCATCCGCGGCGTGTATCAACGAGCTCGTAACCAGCTCGCTTCGAGTTTTATAGCCCCGACAGTGCGCGGCTCGCGTTTATTGCGTTACAAGTGCAATTAACTACGAAAACACTGTCGGTGGGACCCTCGGGAGCGATCGTCGACGATCCGTCGGGATCGTGAGATCGCCATCGTTGACACGAGACTCGAAGCGATCTCGATCGAGCCGCCGATAACGGACTGATCTCGCGGACAGTTCGACGGCGTCGCGAATGGATATTTCAAGAACAGTTCGTGGAAGTTCTGTGAAAATCGAGCGAAGTTTTCGAGAACGGAAGAGTTTAGTGAGCTGCACAGGTGTGGAAGTCAGTGGCAGGTGTCCCGGAAAAGTTGGTGAATCATTTCGAAGAGGGATCGCTCGCGAAGACATGTATTAGGATGTTGTCCTCGGCGATCTCCGGTACCCCGTTCAGTGTTCGCGACATTCTCAGCGACGATCAGCAGCTCGGCGCAATGGATTGCTACCCTGCCGCGCATCACCAGCATCAGCTGCAACAGCAACACGTCTCCCAGGATTTCTACAATTACGTCGTGCCGGAGAATCAATGGGAGTTCGAGAAATTCAAGGAGCAGTCGATGCCGGCTTACCCTCATTATCCCGATTTGAACCACGTTCATCAGCTGAACCAAATCGCGCCGACGTATCAGGAGCCTCCAGTCACCGAAGACGGTATGTAACGGTTCTCGACAACCCATTTCGAATGGAAACGATCTATTCTTTACGGTGGTGGTGATCGAACGGTGGTCTCGCAGGTAACGTTGTCACGTCGAGCAAGACGGAGCTGAGGAAGAACCAGTCCGGGAAGAGGACGAAGCGTAAGCCGAGGGTGCTGTTCTCCCAGGTGAGCTCGCAAGCGTTCGACAAGATGAAGAATATTCTTGAAGAATATTCTCGACCTCCTTCGACCTCTTTTCGCTGAACTCCAGTCTCAAGACCGTAGTAGTAGTAGTAGTAAAAAGAAAAAGTAGAAGTTTATTTCACTTGCTTTTCAGCTTATGAAAGGGGGTGTACATTTTTGTTTCTGTACAGGGTGAGTCTCGTAACATGACGACGTCAAATCATTCATAAAACGTTTGTTGTACGAAAAAATGTTTCAGATAGAAGTTGCATGGCTCCTAGGGTTACATATAGTATAGTAATCGGTTTTATGTTATTTTCCTTTTTTATCGAGGGTCGCCTTCATTTTTTAGAAATAAATGGTTGATATTTCTTCCCGAAGCGTTGAATTCTACATTAAAAGAAATATCACACCAAATTAGGTATTTGTATTTGGGTACTTGATTTTCAGCCTATGAAATGGGGTGTACATTTTTGTTTCTGTACAGGGTGAGTCTCGTAACATGACGACGTCAAATCATTCATAAAACGTTTGTTGTACGAAAAAATGTTTCAGATAGAAGTTGCATGGCTCCTAGGGTTACATATAGTATAGTAATCGGTTTTATGTTATTTTCCTTTTTTATCGAGGGTCGCCTTCATTTTTTAGAAATAAATAGTTGATATTTCTTCCCTTGAACTCTACATAACAAAGATACCACATCAAATTAGGTATTTGTATTATTTTATTAGTTTCTGATTTTCTGATTTTCTCGCAATATTTGACCGCCCTTTAACCAGCTTCTATACGAGCTTTTTAACCATGTTTTCCAGACTCAAGTCTACGAGCTGGAGCAAAGATTCAAGCAGCAGAGATACCTCAGCGCTCCTGAACGGGAATTGTTGGCGCAAACCCTGAAGCTGACCAGCACGCAGGTGAAGATCTGGTTCCAGAATCGCCGGTACAAGAACAAGCGCGCGAGGATCGAGGACGCGGAGAAATTGCAGGCGCAGAACGTGAAGAGCCACCAGTCGCTGAAGAAGATCACGGTGCCGGTGCTGATCAAGGACGGGAAAATGAACCTGCAGGATTCGTACAATCCGGCGATCGGGCCCTACTGGTCGAACATGAGACCCGAGCTGACGGTGACGATGCAGCCGGACTTCCGGATGAACGACATCCGCGTGAGCCCCGAGTTCAGGCAGAACGGCGGCGAGCCGGTCAGCACGGAGTTCAAGACGGAGATCGGCTCGAACATCGGCGGGAAATCGAGCTTGAGCGGCGATCTGCAGTCCAGACAGCACGCTGTCGTCCCGGACGATTATAGGAACAATCCGGCGATCGATTGTCAGCGGCAGATCAAGACCGAGTACAAAGACAACGAGGTCTCCCCGTTCCCCGACATGAAGAACATGGCGACGGACGCGAAGCAACTGACGAGCGACGGCAGAGCAATGATGGATATCGCGGGCACCGATTACGGGTTCGCGAACTACTTCGGCTCGGCTAATTATCAGATGCAGTATGTCAATTACATGGAACAGGTGCAGATGCCCATGGAGCAGAACCTCCAACGACTGTGGTAAAGTCGAACGAAAACCGGAAGAAACGTATGCCGTGCTTCGGTGTCGCGAGCAAACTATTGCGCAGGACACAGTTGGTGGATAGATAAATTGATCGTAATCCGGTACGAACGATCGACGGAATAACAGCACGGATCATCACAGAGTTCGATGGATCTCGACGTTGACCCCGCGTATTATTTTTTTAACGAACGAACCGCGCCGCCGAGCGTCCAACCAACCACGTTACCATTTAGATAGCCAAAGAGAGTAATCGAGGATTGTCGAAGTAATCCGGTAGCTTTAAGTTTAGCATAGTTAGTCTTAAGGCCGCGCTATTGGCAGCTGTGTTTCTTTTTCTTTCGTTTTAGTTAGCTAAGGTATTCCCTTCGAAATAGCGACGCGCCGCTCGAGAGGCCCGGAAACCGCTTCAAGTGGTGTTTCTCGTAATTCATCGTCTTCGTTCTTTTTTTTCTAGCGGCTCCCCCTGTCCTAGAGACTTTGCCGGAATTGTAAAAGTCTGCCGCGGTAATTTTGCGATGGAAATTTTTCTTGACGATCCACGGCCGGCGCCCGATTAATCGAAGGATGCGATCTCAAGCGCGAATTGTACTCTCCTGTCGCGCGAACGCGTCGCGTCGCACGGGAGAACGAGACAAATGACAATAAAGTATTAAGTTTCATTCATTACGAACCGTTCTGTTCCCTGTCCCGAAAATTGATTTCTTCGCCTGAATGAATGAATGAAATTGACGGCTACAGTAATGTCTCTCTAATCGACGCTCAGATTGTCCACGAAAATGGACAAATTTGAGAAGAGGAGACACGTTTGTTCGAGCCTTGTGGCTTGTTTTTTATGGTTATCGATTGTCAACAACTACAAAAACGGAGCTTCTCTTCCCAAATTGTCCATTTTTGTGCGCAATCTGAGCGTCAATTAGGGAGACATTACTGTACTTCGCGTTGACAAGCTATCATAGACGAGATAACGTCGTCGAGTTTAGTATCGACTCTCATTGAAATTAATCCTTTTTTATTATCGGTTCAAACTACAAATTAAGCATATCAAGTACCATCTTTATCGAGCAGGTTGCGAATCGTCGTCGTGTTCTACGGTTTTTATAGAAACACGAGTCGATTTCGAGGTCGGAGGGGGGATCGCGCACGGTTTCCGCGGGCAACGGCGAGCGGATTTTTCCACGGAGGAGCGGGGAAATTGGACACGACGGTCCAGCCCGATAAAACAAAAATATGGCGAAATGGCATTTATAAATAGGTGAGTTCTGACAGCTTGAGCGAAGCCATGGGCGCCTTTTAGGTTATCGCGCGAGCACGACGGGTCATCTGGCAGTCAAGTGCCTTCACATAGACGATCCGCGTCGGTGTAATCGTTGTTCATGGTGCTACTGGTGCCATAAAGGGCCATGGGAACAAGCTGATAAAAATGTCGGTGCCGATATTAGCCCTGGCTCGCGTGGTCTTTCCCATGTACGCCAGCAGACCACCCTCGCGAAGAAAACGATTCCGCCTCTGTGCACCTGTATGCACCTGCACGCGTCTGCATACACTTGGGTGCACTTGTTGCTCCGAATCGGAATTTGTCTGTGCGTGCTCCAGAAGCTGCACTGGCTAGAGCAGTCACCTATATTTAGCTCCGTAGATTAGATCGTTCGACCGATCGATTCGTTTCCTGTCGAATTTTTCAAATTAGGGTAAATAAGATGAGGGAGTTTCTAAACGTGTGACTACGATATTGCGATTCGCGAGAATAAGTCCTTGAATTCGATCCTTTCTCGCGTTCGAGGAGTAAGATGGTTCAATTGTTTACATGTTCGGAGGAATAGTTTAATGGTTTTATTGGATGGAATCGTGCGACGGGATCTCGACAGTTCGATCGAGACGTTTATCCCTCGGTTTCGAAATCGCGTCGACGCGCCGTGCTAAATTCTTGCCGCGCGCCCGCGCCCGAACTTCCTCCTGAAAGCCCCATTAGGATATCGTGTATTCGCATAATCAATCACGGGACATTAAACGTTGAAATTCGATCCTATTTGCCTGCGGGCGAACGGGAACCGTCGGGGCTAGGTGAATCCATGGAAGGCTAATGCTGTTCAAATAGACACACTCGCGTGCACATGCACGACACCGCTCTCGATCGTTCGGACTCATTTGCGCGCGAACGTGCTTTTTTTTACGAGGTTCATTAATCACGTTGCGTCCGCTGTTCGACGAACCCCGTACAAAGATCTCGATTCTCAAATTATCAATATTTATCGTAACGGCCAAGGCTGCGATGAAGAACCATAATCGTTTCGTGGGAAGATATTAAAATGAGATTTCTGACTTTATTCGAAGGATGTCTGTCCACCGATTTAGAGCGTGACATAGCAATGCGCGAATGCGCTTTGAACGACGCGTAATACGGCATCATAGAAACCTAATTATAGCTGCAATAGGTCTCTCTGTTAATTTCCGTGTCCATTTTTAGCGGATATTGTCCCGAACTATTTATTGTAAAATTCTCTCGCTCGCTCCCTCTTTTTGCAATGAAATTTTTTCAAAGTGTTGAGGGGTGCTGATGGTGCAGGGACTAGGGGAGGAAATTTATTCACGCTATCACATGGTCTAGGCACTCTGAGAGAATTTTTGCGATGCAAAAGAGGAGATTCTGAGATGCGCGATCGATCATTTTAATTGAGAGAATCAATGAAACCGTCGACAATCGGCATCGTCGGTATTTCAGAACGTGACACACAAAATCCCAGGAATGTTCCAGGAATCTACATGATCTGAAGCAGGAACGTCGCAAGACGTGGTATACCTCGTCTGCTCCTATACCTCGTCTGTGACACAAGTTCCAGATGAAATCTGCTTTACCGACTCTGACAAAGGTCTGGAGCGTCGTTATCGATCTCGCGAGTTCGTCCGTCAGCGCGCCCTAGGATTCAAGGTGCAGGAAGATGACTTCCGGTTCTCGTTAATATCTCAATTCTCGATTCAGCTATACATATAATCATGCAATTATTTTATTATACCGTAACGTCGTTACGATTCACCTAGGTACTTATTACTACGTCATTCTCGGTAGTAATTACAGCTTGAAATTATTTTTAACGTGATGCTGATTTATTTTATTTTACTTAACTGTTCGAATAACGATGGTGTAATTGATCCCCCGGAAACGCGAGATCGAAAATAGTAGCACTGTCATTCACCTTTTAAATCCTCATTACTGCTAGAGCCGGCGGCTACAAACGTCTGAAAATAGTTTCTAATAAACCAGCGAATCCACAAACTACCGGTAGCACTGAAAGAACAGGAACTCCTGATGTCATTTTTAAACCGCATCAACTTGGATACACTGTAAATTATAGACTACCAATGTAGCTTGAAAAAGATTAATAGATCCGAGAAATTCTTGTTCACTCGTAATCTTATTTTCCACTTCCGCTCCTCGATAATCTATAATTATACCTGTTGCTTGACTGCGGATTTTTATGCGATGAGAAACACACGTTAGATGAAAATCTCTTTCTTGTTTCAATAATTTTAATAAGTTAGTTTCGATAAATTCTCTCCAATTGTTTCTCAGCTTGTGAACAAAAATGAACAATTTGGGCAGAGGGGATACGATTGTTCGAGCCTCGCGGATCGTTATAATTGTTGACAATCGGCGATTATAAAAACGAGCCGCGAGTCTCGAAATCTCTTCGCAAATTGTCCATTTTTGTTTTCCAGCTGAGGAATAATTGACGAGAATTTACTGTACAATGTAAAAGTATACTCAAATTCATCCAATGTTTTTAGAATTTTGTTTTCGACCGAATCATTTTTGTCAAAAATGATTACGCATAAAATTAGGTATCAAATGGGCATAAAATCCGCAGTGAATCACAACCGCGTGAAACCTTGTCAAAAAATTGGTGAAACATATTTTATGAGAAGAAAACAGAAGAAAGCAGCGACTGTAAAACAATTTACACGAACATTAAATTTCATAAGTATTATTCGATCACAATCGATCATTCATCCGATTAATACGGACGCTTATAGAATGAGTGATTTTACGAGCCGAATTACAAGAAGATTCATTGAAACGTTGGAGTAACGAAGGGTAAAAGAGAAGGTAAACGAAGAGAGGATGAAAGCAGCAGCGTGGGAGGAGAGACGAGGAGGCAGCAGCAGCAGAGGAAGAAGAAGACGAAGAAGAAGTAAATGAGCGAGAGCGGTGGCGGCAGCATATACTAAGCACTAATATTACATCTCTGGACTGACAGACGTGCGGACTTTAAAACCCAAGACTAACAAACAGTTAGCAGTCATCCGGTCTTCTTGTTTTTATATTCTTATGCCCGCCCATAGAGCGCACGCACCGCTCGCGGCTCCTTCGTTACTTTCGTTGTCGTCGTACGCCGGTTCACGAATTTCCTGTCGATCTTCGGGGAACCGGCTGACTAATTTTTACCCTTTGATTCGTCTTCTTGCTCCTCGTGACACTGCCAAAAAGAGAACCCAGTCTAAACGTTTCTTTAAAACGGAACGCCTTGTCGTTGCGATTTAAACTTTACCCTTTGAATTTCGAACGAAATTTGTCTCTTAACAACTGAATCGCGTCAAACTAATTTTTCGAATTCGATCGCACTCCAATTTAGTCCTAGATCGACGGTTCCATGATTTAGCGAAGAACGAGCGCGTCAACGTAGCCGACGCCGTTCAGTCATCATCCCCCGACGATCACGGAGTGTTTAGGGAATTTTCTGATCCCGCGGATCGAGCGAGCCGAGCTCGCCGCAATCCTATTTATAAACCCGGCCGGCGAAAGAACGATTTTGGGTCGATTATCGTAACGAGCCCCCGGAGTCGAAAGTCGAAAGTGGCTGTGTACGATTCGTCTCGCTGCCTCGATATTTCCAGCGATTGCTCAGCCCGCGAACGATCGCGGGGGAGAAAAGAAATATCCGAGTGGCGGAATCGAACTCGTAAGAAAGCGAATCGGCGGGCCAAAGTGCAGCTGAATTGGGAAGGGCCGTGGGGTGGCGGCAGAGGGTGGCGAGGGGCCGGAGGGCAGGGTGACGCGGTCTCCGGTCTCGTTCGAGGGCAACTGAAATAAGGTATAATTTTCCGCGCCAATTAAGGTCTTTAAGAATTGCGACCAATTGAGCGGGAGGGTCAGGGCTTAGCTTTAGGGGAGAGTTGTACCGACATCCCCCTATAATTTATTATTGATTAGATCGAATCGAGAAAAAGACCGACCGAAGACGAGATCACCGTGGCAGTCTTAAAGCTTCCGATGCTCTTCTTTTCTCCGCGGGGCGGGGGTGGCGCACGGTAGGGAAATGGTGGCGGCCGTTTTCCGGTTCGATTACTCGCCACCTGCTAATTGCCTCCGCCCGCTTTCTTATGCTGAAGAAGCGCTTCTGGAAACGCGGCGAAAGTCATCGAGACACGTTGATCGAGATCCAAAGAAATTAAAACGAGCAAGATTGAACAATCGGACGATCGAGGAGCGAGAGGATTTCGGTTTAGAGTATCTTAACCGTTCGAGTCCCAAGCAGCGCGATCGCGCTGTTCAGATCTTGTGTCGCGATCAAACTTTAGTGACGCACGTACATCGCATAGCTGCTTTTTTCATTTTTTTTCTCTTCACAATCAATTAAAACAAGCGCTATTACGCTGTTCGCCACTTTTCGACCGTGTTTTCTGAATAACCCCTGGGAATCAAACGGTTAAAAATGCTCGGAACATCGTAAGTTCGGAGGCTAAGAATGCGAGGGCTTCTTCCTGTTGTGTATTTCGCGCCTATTCGAATCGTCTGTCCAGAACGAGAAAAATGAGACACTCGGTCGAACGACGGGGATTGCCAAGGAACAGCGGAGATGGCGGGGAATAATTTCCTCGTCGATATCCGGAACGCGCGAGGCCATCATCGGACCAAGTGAGGCGCGAAGATCCACGCTCCTGTGGTTCACACTTAATTAAACCGCCATAGGAACTCGGCTGCCAGCACGTGGCGGACAATGCTGCAAGTCTTTAGCGGCGATTGTTATGTAAAGCACACCCTATATATGCACCGTGGCAGTTTCCTCTCGACTCGACTCGACTCGACTCGATGCGAGACCAAGTGTACGTAGAGCCTGCTGGCCTGTCCCGGTCTACGTACATCACGGCCGGAGGAACTTTTTGAAAGGATTAGACGACGATTCAGAGCGAACGAGTTGCGGGAAATCGCGATTTCGGGGCCAGCCCTCGCCCCAGGCAGCTCCAAGTAGTCGGAAAGTAAGAGAAACGTGTCGATTCTTCGGTTCCGGGATAATGGAACCAGTGGATAATTTGACTTGGCCCGTGGGGCGCTCGAAAGTTTCCGGCGAGACTGTACCTCGAAGCTGTAGGCATCGTTCGGGAAGAGAAGATTGTTGGGGTAATTATTCGATTCCTCGTTACTATCCCTTCCTAATTACTGCTTTCTCGAGCGCCCGGCTACTCGTGGATACGACTTATTTCGGCGATCCCGGGGCGTGAAAAATTAGGGGTGCGCGGCGCTCGAAGCGAGCCGCTCCCTTTTCAATTGAAATCCAGCCTCGCGGATGCAATTATTGCTAGCAAGGAGCGGAGGTCACGATGAAATACTTTAGAAATTGTCTACGAATCTTCCAGCAATAATCAATCAATCTCTCTCTCTCTCTCTCTCTCTCTCTCTCTCTCTCTCTCTCTCTTTCTGGAGATCCGAAATAGCGACGAGACGTCGCCCGAGAAATTTGTCCAGCCGTCGAGAGTCGCGCGAACCCTTCCATGCCCGGCACCCGATCAGGATTTCCTCGCTGGCAAATACTTGATCGAAGTAGCACTCCCTGGAGGAAACGGCTCGTCGCACGCGATACCTGAAAGACGTCTCTCGCCCCTTCGCCGCGACGCCGGCAACCCCTCCGCGCCCGACCCTGAAAAAATACGCCGCGAGATCCCACTCCCGGGAACCGTCGGCCGTCATCCCGACGAGCAGACGACTTCGTGGAACCGTCGATTGGCTCGGTCGGAAAAGCGGTGTCGCGAGAATAGACGTCGATTGGTCGTAGGGCGAGGCTTGCGTCCTGACGGGAGCGTCGCCGGGCGTCGCGCCTCCAACCTGGAGGTCGCGCGGAGGCTCCACCTACGCCGCGGCCCGCGAAACTCGAATTCCTCGCTGATAACAAACCTTTCGAAACGTCTCGCTTCGTACGCAGGGCCAGCGTTCTATGCTGAGCGGAGTCTTTCGGCGACCAAAGAAGCCTGAATCGATCGTGGATTTTCACTCGTGATTTCGACTCGAGAATGGGAAACGAAAGAAAAATACAATTGCTAAAAGGAGAAAATGTAAGTTATCGTAAAATAGTTATTATAAAATATGCATTATCGCGATTGGTAGAACATTGTATAACGTCGACGTTTCGAAAGAATCGACTTCCCTTCGGAGCAGAATTTTTTACCCGATCGAATACTCTTCGATTCGAAAACGAAAGGCGAACCGAAAATACATTGAGTTGAAACGAGACGAATTAAACGATCGTGTTTACTTCGAAAGTGGACAATCGAATTTACCGAAATTAATGAAAATTCCTTGCGGCCGTTTTGCAGCTGATCGCACAATTGATTACGCAAGTTGTCGATTCCGAGTGGAGGCGAATCGATATAATTCGACGTTTCTTTGAAAGAAGGACCGAGGGTGTTCGGGTTTGAAGGAGCAAGGGGATCGAAGGGGTAGCTCGAACGCTCGGAGAAAGCGTGTCGCGGCGTGGTGGAGGAAGATCGCTGCGAGTCGCGGTCGCGTCGCGATCGACAGGGAACGGAGGGATGATTGGAGGGGCTGGCCGGCATAGAAGGGGAAGCTGGTCTGGGCGGGGGCGAAGGAAGCCTCGGCTGAAGTGGCCGCGGACTAATTCGAAAAATAAGTCGTCCGCGCGCGCGACAAGCACACTTGACCGAAGCACACTCGTCGCGGAAGGGCGCGGGACTCGAGTGCTCGCGGACGACAATTAATAAATCGGCGACCGGTGCGGAGCAGATTACGCGGACGAGGAAGTTGGAGGCGCGAGACGCGAAACGCGAGTCAGTCGTGCCGTGGCTCCGACAGAACGTGGTTCATCGTGGACCGGGCTCCGAGTCCTCGAAATACGCTTCCCTCGTGCTCAAGGATTACATCGCGGAGCGATCTCGAGGAAGACGTCGTCGGGAGAGGACAGTGATCGATCGGGTTTCGGAGATGTTGCTCCGGGATCGCGAGCGTCGGTCTTCGCGGAGGATATCGCGCGGTTGCTGAGACGATGCTTCGGCTGTGAACGGTAGAAAGTGAGCCCAGAGACTGTGGAACAGAACGACGGAACCTTACGAGGAGTGTTTCGGGAAGAACGAAGGCATGTCCGGCCGGGAGGAGACGATGGACGAGGAGAAGCGCAGCGAAGCCTCGCCGAGACCCTCTCAGCTGACTCCCTTCAGCATCGCGGACATCCTCAGCAGGAGGACCTCCTGCTCCAGCCACGAGCAGCAACGTTCTCCGGAGCTGGAGGATCAGCAGGCCGCGTCTTTCTTGAAGAAACGCAGAGAGTACGAGTGCCTGGAGAACGAACATCGAGAAGGACACTCGGACCAGGATCGTAGCCAGTTGACGAGATTCGCCAGGCTGTCCTCGCCCGATCTGAGCGTGGCCAGGGAGCTGGACATCCTGACGAGGAACCTCGTGCACGCGAACATCTCGAACTTCGGCACCATCCCGCACCTGGCACAGGGCACCTTCAAGCACCTCGAGACCCTGGGCAACATGGCCGCCTACCAGCCGGCGAAGGACACGAGGGAGGCCTCGCAGAGGCAACAGGACGAGGCGCTGGACATGAGCAAGAACAAATATCTGGGTGAGCGGAAAACAACACTTTCGTTCGCCGCGAACGACGACGACGATCGGTATCTATAAATACGGAGTGAGCAAACACTCGGCTCGATTGTCACCGGATCACTTTCTTTCGAGGCGCAGATTACGTTGCCCGGGAGATCGCGATTTTTATCGGGAACAAGGAAAAATCCTCGTTTCCGCGATAGGCATGCCGATTACGGCATCGACATTGTCGTTAGAGCGGTTTTCGATTAGATCAAGGGCAGCCGATAACGCGATGCATTATTGTTTAGATCGGAGATAGATATACTTCAGGGAAGAACGCAGGTGAAGTGTAGGTGTTTGTCGAGACAACTTTGTTTTGTTGCTTATCGCGACGCCGATGAGCAATTGGCACTCGCGCGGGACAATCTGCCACTTCATCGAACCGTGTACCTAAACGGTGATTGCGACGCGATCGTACGATTTAATGCGGGGAAAACGAACGGGTGCCGATGGAAGGTAGATTAACGGAAAGTCGACCGGTTGGGCGAGTGACCAGGGCCACTTGGATAGCCTCTGCCGGCCGAGACAGTCTCCCTTCTGGGAGATCGTGTGTCTGCCACGAGGATGTACGCTTAAGAGATCATTTAGCCCGGTATCCCTGTAACAGCCGAGCTTTTCAAGGGTTTTTTTCCAGTTAACCCGAGCGCAGATAACGTGATCGAATGTAATTTTAGTAGCATAAGTGGTGCTCGACCCGGCAGACGTCACAAGTGGCCGGCACTCTACTTCTTGCACTTGTTCGATCCCCGGGGCCACACTGTTGCGCACTGTCTCGAGCCGGCCGAGGATCCACGGGATCGGAAGCAAAAACAGATTTAGATCAAGGTTACCGAGGCGACCGATTCCGTGGAATCGCGCGTTTTTTCACAGACGATCGGCCAGATTCGATCGATTCGCGTCGCTCGCCGCGGTGGTTCACGGCCAACGACGGCTCGTCCGGTCGCCTAACGTTCGTTTCTCGCGGGAGAATCGCAGGAAAACGGCAATTAACGCTCCCCGGTGGCTCGAGCTGTTTCCTCAGCGACGATTCTTCGGCCTTTTCACCTCGCGGGGGTGGATAGACGCGGGCACGAGCTGGCACCGTTTCAAGGCTCCCGCTACGAACCCCTTCGCCGGCCCGGAATATCACTTAATACGGTAATGGACAGCGGCAATCGAGACTTCGCTAGAACCCCGATGCTTCCTCTTCTCATTAATCTTCGGTCACTTTAGAATTCGAGCATTTGCTAGCTTCTTTCGACGCGATCGATCCGGCATTATTTTAACGAATCTCAACGATATCCGAAATTAAGAGAATTTAGATGATGATCGACGGAAGCTAGTTTTTCCATCGATGCTCGCGATGGAATCGAAAGTGTGCGCAGACGATTACCATTTTTTTTTTTCGTGGGGTCAAGGGTCGCGGGGGAGCTAAGCGAATCGCTCTTATCCCCCGCGAACGATAATATTTCATTCGGCCAGTGGCTAAGGCCCATATCAATGTATTTGAGAATCGAGCAGCTTCAGAAGGTACGAAGGGTCATCTCGGTGTAATCGGAGTGAGAGCAAACGGCACTTGCTCCTCTCGAACACTCTCGATGTAGGACGCGTAGGTTGTTTGACGAGCGTCAGAGGAGGGACGCATTAGCCGGACGAGATGGCATGGAGTTGACGTCGAAAGTGATCAAATATAGATCTCTCTAAATGCTTCGAGTCCCCCCATCGGCCGCTGCCGATAAACATTGACGCAGGATCACGGACGAAATAATTATGATCTCAGCCGGGGATATTCGAATATTCACTTTTTTCTTCGCCCCTCGATAAATCGCTGGACGCTCCCACTACCGGCCACGAACTGTCTCCTCCGACTCGGAAGAAAAACGTCTTCTCCGCGTTCGCTACGATCCCTGGGTCTACACTTGCGCGATCGCTGCCGGTAGTTAATAACTTAGAAAGCGAACTTAGAGAATTAACCCTTAGCGCCCGCGCGTTTCTCGAGTACTGCCTACCAGCAACTCCGGCACATTTTTGAAGCGGAGCGCCTGAGATAAAGGAAGTCTTATTTTCAGCGGAAAAGATTACACGTCCTTGTGAATGCATTTGATATTTTATTTATTTTATAAATATACATTTTCCTATTGTAAATAAAAGATAAACTTTAAATTTTGTAATTCACCATGGTGCGATATCTTTGGTAACAATCTCCCACGTGCATTCTGGGTTTACTTGGACAAGTGTCACAGTATTCACTTTGCCAAATAGAGTTACTTGAAATTTCTTTCAAGTTTAGAACATTTTCTGCCTAATTGTTGGTTTCCTTTATAATTTCATTTACCAATTCGTCCGTGAAAAATAATTTAAAATATCGTATCGGCGTTCAATGTTTGTAGGAACTTGTGGTCCAACGACCTGTGGGAATACACTAAAAGGTATTCTATCTGGAATATGTAATTCTTCCGTAACATCACGCCGTTCATTTAAGTCTTGTAACGAATCTTCGCTTTCACTTTCAATAATTCTCATTCTTCGTCTCTATGGTAGTATAATTTCGCTACTGAAGTGTCAGAATCATAACCAACATTGTCTTCCACAATGTCTTTTAACTCTTCAAAATCAAATACGTCTTCGGTATCACTCGGCTCTAAGTTCTCATCATAATATTTATTTTTCTCCATGTTGCTAACCATAGAAAAGGTCAACAAATGGTTTAATCGTAATGATACAGACTTGGCACGTTTTAACTACAGATAACAATTGCTAACGCCGACGATAACGCTAAGGTTTAAAAATGTTAAGTCGAACGTTGCTGGGATCGTTTCGTCGCTTTCAATTATTAACCCTTTGCACTCGAAGCTATTTTAACTGTATATTTTCTGATTTATAATATTATCATTTTATATGACAAAGCGCATTTTATGCATGTGAAATTGAGTCTTGCGAGTTACACAACGGCTACACTTTTAACAACTTTTTAAAATCTAAACTTTGTTAATGTAAAAATTTATCACCATTCGAGTGCAAAGGGTTAAATAACGAGCGATCATTAACTCCGAAATGATAGCCGACTCTTCGATTTTGTTGATGGGTTTAAAATTACGTAAACAGTGGTGCTTTTATATTATAAAATATCTTTTTATCGTACCGAGCGTAACGAAGGACTTCGTCGAAAGGAAAATTGGGTCTTCGCTCGTATCTCCGGACTGCTATAGTTAGGCCCCACAGTCCGGAGCCTTGAGATCAACTATCGAAACATTCGATACTTACAGCTATCTTTATTTTCGAGATGGTTCTGGGAACAGCGAATTGTTTTTGCTTTGAAACGATAACTTCGTTGCAGTTAAATGTTGATGATCGAATACTCGGACTACAAAGTGTTACTCTTGAATCTTTCTAACATCGTTACTCAAAATTGACTAGCACTTTCCGTATGCAATTGTCCTGCCATGTATTAGGCACCAAGGTACAATTAGGGCGTTAAATATGTATGAACGCTTTGCTGTACTTTGCCAAAATGCTGAAATAAAAATTTATAGTAACTAGAACGATCCCAGAACCTTTCGATCCGACAGTATCTCGATATACGGCAATGTCTCTCTAATTGACGCTCAAATTGTGCTCAAAAATGAACAATTCGGGAAGAGGAGATACGATTATACGAACCTTGAAGCTCGTTTTTATAGTTGTTGACAATCGATAACCATTATAAACGAGCCACAAGGCATCTCCTCTTTCAAAATTGTCCATTTTTGTGCACAATCTGAGCGTCAGTTAGGGAGACATTACTGTACTTTGTCCCTGTGTTCATCTAGAATTTCAAGAATGTTTCTTAGCATCGAGTATGATGCACGATCCGAGCGTCGGAGATGCCCCGACGAAACAAAGTCGCAGGCACGGGGGTGCAAGTAGAATTTTAGGACGGATGGGCGCGCGATTGCACTCCGATGCGACCGGTTAAACTTAGAGGAGAATTACCGTGGAACAGGAGCGTAAACATGTCGGAGTAGCGAGTGCACGTGTTAATGTTTGAACGAGACATCAAACGCAGCCGGAACTCTCTTTCTCCCGGGAGAACTCTCTCTCTCTCTCTCTCTCTCTCTCTCCGTCGCTCTCGGATCGTCCGCCGCTCCTATGGCTGTCCGAGGATGGTTACTCGCTCGTTGGTCCACCTCCGACAGCATCCCTCTCCCCGTGCCGGCCTAAAACGTTTGATTTACGATCGCGGTAGATCATCGGCTCCCGATCCGCGCGTTTGTTTGCTCGGGAATTTCGAAAACCGCGATCTTTGGCTGCTCTTCGCGACTCCGCTCCCAAACGAACCAACACCGCTATCATCGAATTTGTAAACGGATCTCGGCCTTTGCCCGAATTCGAGTAGGATCCGCGGGAAGACACTTCCGAGGATAATTAGCTTTTCGAGGATAGCCGGCTTATCGGATGGATTTACGGTCGCGCCATTTCGAAAACCGCGATCTTCGATTGCGCGAGCCGGGCTTTAGATCACGCGGCAAAGTTCCTTGGAGTTTCGTAGACTGATCTTAGGTGGGGTTTTTTTGCATGGCGTTTACAGAGGACACGGAGGAGGACATGTACGAGGCGCAGAATCATGGTCAGAATCTCCAGAGCAGAAAGAAACGCAGCCGGGCAGCGTTCTCCCACGCCCAGGTCTACGAGCTCGAGAGAAGATTCGCCGCGCAGAAATATTTGTCGGGCCCGGAAAGGGCGGACCTTGCTCGCGGATTGAAGCTGACGGAGACACAAGTCAAGATCTGGTTCCAAAATAGACGGTAAGCGACAGATCTTCAAAGATAGGGGCCTCCTTTCAGCTAATTCGAGGCCGATCGCACACCTAGCGCGCGTTGCCGTTTCTAACCGAAAAGGCCAATGGTTCTCGAAACATAGCCTCGAGTGGGTGGAGCAGGTTCCTTAAGCAGTTTGTACTCGAGCGACTTAACCTTTCAAAAGTGTGGATAGCTTGAAATCATCCGCCGAAAGTGTGGGATTTTGACCCCTTGCGTTGCGACGTTGAGTCAGACTCGACGCGAACGTTTCGTACACGATCTACTAGATATGAATGTTATTAATTTCTTCCGGAACCAAATTGGATTCTTCTGTTAGCAAAGTCTAGGAATGCAAGTAAATATAGACAATCAGGAAACCGAAATCGTCTCGCTCTATCAGGGAAATTATTAACCCTTAGCGCTCCACGCGTTTCTCGAGTACTGCCTACCAGCAACTTCGGCACATTTTTGGAGCAAAGCGCCTGAGATAAAGGAAGTTTTATTTTCAGTGGAAAAGATTACACGTCCTTGTGAAAACGTTCGATTTCATTCATTTTATGCTGCTAAGTATAAAAATCGGCAAAAAATGTTTTAATCGTAATGGTATCTACTTAACATTGTGCGAGGTCGGTGCATCGACATCGTGAATTGTGACCGAAATTTCCAAGCAGCAAATGCATCCTCATCGAAATGGGTAAATTTACTATTAATGATATTCTTCACAATTCTTAAATAAATATATCCCTCATGTTCTTTGACGCGATTTATTATAAAATTAGCATTGCGAATCGTTTGTTGAATTCTGTTCGGATACGGAATTACTGAAACAAAAATATCTTTTGCATGAGTTTGCCGGAATTTTTTTATTGTTAATCTTCACTGGAATCGGCTCAATTAATAATAAAATTAAATTAGAAATTAGTAAATATTCTTCGGACGTTCTAAAATAAAGTTGAACAGCGTTTTTCTGAAAAATGTCACTACCAGCAACTTCGGAACATTTTTGGAGCAAAGCGCCTGAGATAAAGGAAGTCTTATTTTATTCATTTTATGTTGCTAAGTATAAAAATCGGCAAAAAATGTTTTAATCGTAATGGTATCTACTTAACATTGTGCGAGGTCGGTGCATCGACATCGTGAATTGTGACCGAAATTTCCAAGCAGCAAATGCATCCTCATCGAAATGGGTAAATTTACTATTAATGATATTCTTCACAATTCTTAAATAAATATATCCCTCATGTTCTTTGACGCGATTTATTATAAAATTAGCATTGCGAATCGTTTGTTGAATTCTGTTCGGATACGGAATTACTGAAACAAAAATATCTTTTGCATGAGTTTGCCGGAATTTTTTTATTGTTAATCTTCACTGGAATCGGCTCAATTAATAATAAAATTAAATTAGAAATTAGTAAATATTCTTCGGACGTTCTAAAATAAAGTTGAACAGCGTTTTTCTGAAAAATGTCACTACCAGCAACTTCGGAACATTTTTGGAGCAAAGCGCCTGAGATAAAGGAAGTCTTATTTTATTCATTTTATGTTGCTAAGTATAAAAATCGGCAAAAAATGTTTTAATCGTAATGGCACACACGCTAAGCACGTTTTCACTACAAATAACAATTGTCAACGTCGACAAAAACACAGCATCTTCAGTGTAATCATGCTAAAAACATTGGGCTCCGCAGCAGAGCCTTCGGATTTGCGGAACAAATGACGGATGTCTCCAAAGCGGAGCCAACGGAGCGCTAAGGGTTAACCTGTTCGTTCAGAAATTCATTCGTAACATATTTTTAAAAAATTTCAACGACGAAAAAAGGCGTCATACCCATTCGACGAAATCTTCTCACCGGTTGACCGCAAACGAGTGCTACTCGACTTGCGAAAGAAATCGTAGTTCGTGAGTTTAAGGCGTCGAAGGGTGCCCTGAGTCGAGTCTTCGAGAACAGACAGGCGGAAGAGACGTTTCGCGGTTTCGCGAAGCTCCGGGCGCGGGATCGGGCTAATCGGACTAATCGGAGGGGTTCGGTTGCAGATACAAGACCAAGAGGCGACAACAGCAGGAGCTGGGCGCGCTGGTTAATTCCGGAAACGCGAGGCGCGTGGCGGTGCGCGTCCTCGTGCACCCGGACGAGCATTTGAGGGGATTGCCACTTCGTGGTTCCGGGCAACTTCCCGGCCAAATGTCGGGCCCGCAAATTCATCCGGCGAACAAAGCGCTCGGCGGTTTCCCGTACTACTGCCTCCCCTATCATCCCCTGCTCTGTCCGCCCCTTCACTCCGCTCATATTCAGGTGCAAAACACGATCGCGCCGGACCTCGATCCCAGCCAGCTCTCGAAAATCACCGACGAGAAATGAACCGGTGAATTTTACCGGATGGGGATCGACCGTTCTCGTTCCGCCGCCGTCGAAACGCCACGATCGATGTTCGTCCTCCTGTTCGAGGGACGCGCGTGTCCTCGTGTCTTTTTTTTCACTTTCGATCTGGTCGCGTTAAGCTAGTCCATTCGCCACTGTCCTGCGGCGTTCTCTTCGTTAGGATCGGGGATTGAAAAGATTCCGAGGATAACCGTTGCAAACTGTTATGCTACTTCGGCTCTGACTGAAACAGTTACGAATAGACAGTGGATCTTTATGCAAAATAAAAATTTCGTTCGGTAATTGTTTAAAACAAGATTTGAATGTGTTTCTTCGTTCGATAGTTTCAATCGATTGAAAATAATGTAACGATACTCTTAAATTCTTCCAATGTTTTTATCGTTCTGTGTTTCGCAATGAATCAATTTAATTAATTTAATTTAATCTTTGCAGCGAATGCATACAAAATCCGCAGGCTAGTTACGACGAACCGAGAAGATCTCATCGCTTTTATAAGTAGAGTGCGGATCTTTATGCGAGATAAAAATTGTCTGGCTCAATAGTAAGAAACGAACGATGAAAATAAATAGAATTCTTTCTTGAATAATCTCGATCTGTAAAAAGTAGTACGTTGATATTCTTAAATTCATTCGATCTCTTCGCAGTTTGTTCGACATGCTCGTTTCGGTCATAAGTTCGTGAAATCCGCAGTCTTGTTATTATATTAGATCTACCTGAAAGTTCTGTCCGTTTTTGAATTGTAATATAACACAATTTTCATACATTTAATAATATTTATCGTAGAATATACTTTCCATCGTTACTTATGACTTCTTGCCAGCGTGATGGCAACTTGTAAATGCCATTTTTAAAAAATGATTTATTTTTAGAGGCGAAGGACTCAACTAGTGCTTGGTTGACATCAGCTTCAGTTTTGAATTTCTTTTCCTGTAAAAAGTTTTGCAAACACAGAAACAAGTGATAATCGGAGGGTGCTAGGTCCGGGGAGTATGGTGGATGCGACAGAATTTCCCAGCCTAGCTCTGCGATTTTCTGACGAGTCGCCAAAGCAGCGTGTGGTCTGGCATTATCGTCGGTAGCCATGTTTTCACGATCGCGTCTCACTTAATAATGACATGAGACATCTTTGTTTCAGTTTATTTAGGAGAGTACATGCGTGTAAATGCAACGATAAAGAGAGATAGTCATATGTGTCTCAAATCAACATGTGCATATGGATTGAAACTTGAAGTGACACTATCGGACAGAACTTTCCGGTAGACCTAATAAAATGTATCGGTTTTCGTTTTTCAGAACCGATGTTGCACCAGTTCCATAACTGTTATTTTTCGGTTCTGAGTTCCGTTTACGCATTTCGATTACAATTTCATTTTACGTAACAAATACACGGTATTTCCTTTAGGTATTCAAAGCATAGATTCTACAGGGTGTCCCAAAAATGTCTCGCAATCCAAGAATGGGAGGTTCCTGAGGTAATTTGAAGTAAGTTTGTCCTTGGCGAAAATGCAATCCGCGGCTTTGTTTACGAGTTATTAGCGAAAAAGAGTGACCAATGAGAAATGAGATATGCTGTCGCAAGGCGGCAGAACCAATGAGCGGAACTGGGCTCCGTGCGCTCATTGTCTCGGCCGCCAAGCGCTAGGCGCGCTCGCCTCTCATTGGTCAGTGTTTTTCGTGAATAATTCGTAAACGAAGCCACGGGTTGCATTTTCGCTAAGGAAAAAGTGACTTCAAATGATCCCAGGAACTTCTCATTTCCGGTTTGCGAGACATTTTTGGGACACCTTGTATACTTGTCGCATCTGACCTCGTTTTTGTTCGTCAAGACAGACAGAACCGAAACTGTTTTCAACCCCTGATCAGAATCGTCGCTTCGTTTCGGATAGATAGCGAATTAGAGAACCCTGGGAGACGCCATGATCTTTGTTAAACGAGCTTCGGGATTGCTTTTTACCGCCATTTTGTTGAGCACTGGCAACCTTCGGTCGAAAAATGCGAATTATTTGAACGCAAGTACTCGACGAGAGCAACGGCTCTCGAAGAATCGTTAAGCGACGGTACAGATCGAATATCGCCAACGTGCATTTATTTAGCCAGAGACATTGACTGCTGGAGATTCGTCGAAATTTTTATGGAATAGGATGCTTCTGTTTTCTTTTTTCTTCGAAAGAACTTGTTTAAATATTGCGTTAAGTTAAGCTAGTCGATTCGCAGCCGCTCTACACGTTCGCAGAAGATTGACAAATCCTTATCGCATCAACGAGAGCTCTCGAAGTTACATTCTGATATTAAAAAAAAAAGAGCTCGATATTCCGACAGTCTGTTAATCGTGTTTGATCGCGATCGCGCGCAACCCGCGCGGAAATAACGATTTAAAGAGAGCACGGTTCCCGATTATTCGACGTAGCGCCATTAACTATGAAGTTACCTATAAATATTATCGTAATTTAGGAAGAGGATCGTGTAAATTAGCGTGTAAATAACTGTATAAAATGTAATCTGAGCCGAACGGCGTCGGTGGGCGAAGTATTTATTTATTCTCGGTCCTGGAAGCCCGCGGAATCGTCGAAATCTTTTTTAAACCTCCATTTCGAAATGTCCGAAGCGTCCAACATGCGTTTCCCGGCAATTTGTATCGTTCGTGGGTCAACGACGACGCGAAAAATTCAAGAGAAATTCGACCGATTCGTTCCAGGGACCGTCGTCATCGGTCCATCGAGATCCACGTGCAATAAAAACCAAAGATCACCGACGCCACACCTACGATTAAGCGTTACCACAATTTTATTATAAGCGAGCGCCCAAACACCATTGTTCCCGCGCACCTATGTGATGATACAGATCTATTCGAATATACGAAGTGGTTCATCGAGAAAGCAAATGGAATAAAACCGAGAGAAAAAAGAAAGAAAGAACCCGAACGTCTCACTTTTTACCCCTCTTAACGAACGTCTGCGTCACGGCCATGGGGGACCGTAAAAACGTTGACACCCGTCTGACCCGGGACATCGCCTTCGAAACAAGTAGCTCCCTTTTTACGACGAGCTTGTGAACGCTATCGCGTGCACGGCCGCTGCAAGAATTATTACGTTTCAATCACACCGTTCCCTCCGCGTAAACTCGCCAATTGTCCGACAAAAAAAGAATTGTCTCGGGATGAAATGTTCGAACGTTGAAAAGCGATGCATCGGCAAAGAAAGAAATCGTTCTCGTATCGCAGGACAAGTTGTTTGCTTTGCAATTCGCGAGAGGTAAATCGATTCGAGAGACTCTAAACGGCTGGACATCGGAGCCAAAGTGCACGGAAAGCGTTGATCGCGCGGCGCAATCGGCGAATCGACGTTCCATCAGTCACGATGGAACCGACTTTCCCATAAGGGTTTTAATAGCTCCGTCTGGGTGGGCCCGACAGACATCAGATCTGTTTATTCAGACGCGGAGACGAGCAGACTTAACCGACGCTCCGGGGAAAAAAGGCTAGATCTGACACTCATCTGTTATAAACAAAGGAGTTACATTATCCTCGGCGAAAGGGTCTTTGCGCCTCCATCGGCCGATCTGCATAAAAAGAAGGCCGGGCTCAAAAGGCCGCCGCGCTTTTTCGCCGTGACTCGACACGGAGTTTTAACCCTCGCGCCGGATTGCTCTCTTACTCCGATTTTACTGCACTCCTGGCCACGGTGAAAAAATTATTTTTATAGATTTGTTTGTAATAAAACTCGCCTCCTTGCCTCGGAACAGTCGTCTCCCCCTCCATTCCGTTTTTTCTCGGCCAGAACACGCCGCCGCCGGCGTAGAACGATACTTTATTCCAAGTGCATCGGTTGTTTGTTCCGACGAGAGAATTGTCCGAGCATTCGGGAATACGCAATCTTATCTTTCCCCGAATTTATCTTCGTTGCAGATCTCGCAGATGCATTTATTTCTCGTTCGAATATTCTTATCTTTTGGCTGCGAACTCAAAATGACCGGTTTTATATTCCTTTTTGTTTTAAAGTTCGTGAAATTACGGAGACTCTTTCATGGAAAATGATCGAATAAATATCTTAGTTCAAACGTACGTCGCAGTGAAAACAGCGAAATGTCTGAACGGATAAAGTCTTTTCGTAATTATAGAGGAACACGCGTTGATTGCTTTTAGAGCTCGGTAGGTTTAGCGTTAAAAAGTTAGGTTTTCGTATTTGGAGACGTAGAGGCTTTACGAAATCCGCAGTGTTGAAGATATAGGTGAGTATTTGCGTTATAAATGGTCAAGAATTCGATAGAAACTGCGTTAACACTAGATTCACCGAACTCGTCAAAATGACGGGTCATATTTTTACGATTATTTTTAATTTACGATTATTCGTATCGTAAAGATACATTTATGAGTTATTCATTCAATTTACATGTTACTTACGGCAAATGTTACAATAAGGCTTGCTAAAAATCGGAATAAACGTCTTATTGTTGCTTTTATAAACTAATATAAAACAGCTGTTTTTCGCGCTCCGTAAATATAGCGTTAATTAAGCCGAAACTAGAAAGCTATAATTGAGTCAATTTATATATCACTCACGGCAAATGTTATGGCTGTCTCTTATACACATCTAGATGTGTATAAGAGACAGCCATAACATTTGCCGTGAGTGATATATAAATTGACTCAATTATAGCTTTCTAGTTTCGGCTTAATTAACGCTATATTTACGGAGCGCGAAAAACAGCTGTTTTATATTAGTTTATAAAAGCAACAATAAGACGTTTATTCCGATTTTTAACCAGCGTTATTGTAACATTTGCCGTGAGTGACATATAAATTGACACAGTTATAACTTTCTAGTTTCGGCTTAATTAACGCTATATTTACGGAGCGCGAAAAACAGCTGTTTTATATTAGTTTATAAAAGCAACAATAAGACGTTTATTCCGATTTTTAACCAGCGTTATTGTAACATTTGCCGTGAGTGACATATAAATTGACACAGTTATAACTTTCTAGTTTCGGCTTAATTAACGCTATATTTACGGAGCGCGAAAAACAGCTGTTTTATATTAGTTTATAAAAGCAACAATAAGACGTTTATTCCGATTTTTAACCAGCGTTATTGTAACATTTGCCGTGAGTGACATATAAATTGACACAGTTATAACTTTCTAGTTTCGGCTTAATTAACGCTATATTTACGGAGCGCGAAAAACAGCTGTTTTATATTAGTTTATAAAAGCAACAATAAGACGTTTATTCCGATTTTTAACCAGCGTTATTGTAACATTTGCCGTGAGTGACATATAAATTGACACAGTTATAACTTTCTAGTTTCGGCTTAATTAACGCTATATTTACGGAGCGCGAAAAACAGCTGTTTTATATTAGTTTATAAAAGCAACAATAAGACGTTTATTCCGATTTTTAACCAGCGTTATTGTAACATTTGCCGTGAGTGACATATAAATTGACACAGTTATAACTTTCTAGTTTCGGCTTAATTAACGCTATATTTACGGAGCGCGAAAAACAGCTGTTTTATATTAGTTTATAAAAGCAACAATAAGACGTTTATTCCGATTTTTAACCAGCGTTATTGTAACATTTGCCGTGAGTGACATATAAATTGACACAGTTATAACTTTCTAGTTTCGGCTTAATTAACGCTATATTTACGGAGCGCGAAAAACAGCTGTTTTATATTAGTTTATAAAAGCAACAATAAGACGTTTATTCCGATTTTTAGCAAGCCTTATTGTAAC